GCCAGCGGGTGTACCGTGATAAAACCGGCCTCAAGTACCACATGCGAGCAGCGCATCATATCACGTAGCTACTAGCTGCTGGTCGTGAGTCGTGACATCGTTGAGCCGTTGCTTGAGTGTGTATTGGTCGTATATCTCGGGTCGGTCCCCCGACCAAGAGCACCGCTCCGCTGAAGCTGAATGCCAAAGTGATCGGCAGAGACGTCTAAGCGGATATGCCTTTGGTTGTAAATATTTAAAATTGTGTTTGTTGCTGTTTCAAGTTCTCGCTTTGTGTTCGTTTATTGGTTTGTAATTTCGTAGTTCTAGTGACGGCGTAACTTGTGCTTTCCTGGGTAATATTTCTTGGCGGCTGAATTGTGCCTATTAGTTGTATATGATGCGTATACCTATATGAAGTGTGTTCACTGCTCTGGCCGGTTTTGAATGCAAGAATAAAAGTTATGTTGCATAACCTGCCTACCCAAAAGTCCACTCTCTCAAACCGTTCGACACAAGAAGACCAAGCTGCATCACAATGCCTGAGCTAAGTAAACGCATACCTGACACCTAACCTACACGTTTAGGAGACTTACCTACCTGCCTGAGAGTCGCACTTGGTGAAATTCTCGGCCCGTTCGATTTCGTCTCTTTAGGACTGCCTCCGTGGCACCCAGATGTAATAACTTCTGCAAAATGTTTTTTTTTTTTATACAGCTGTGTCTTTGAAATAGGTACTATTAGGATAAATCAAAACGTACGAATCTGTGGTTGCACGCCACGGTTATCTAAGAATCGCATTATTTATCTTTTCTTACCGCTGCTGGCGTATAAACAATGAGTAGGTAACCGTTTACAGCTGCCTCGATTTAATTATTTTACTTCACAATCCATATTTGATCCAGGATCCTACCCACTTATATATAATGTAGGTACAGTCCACAGCAGAAGTAATGTGGGGTTTCAGTCATGGGTATGTTCTGGCCTGCTTCTGAAGCTTAGGAACGATTAACCAGACTACAATGAAACTTTGAATTTAGCTTATATGTATCGTCACCCTTGCAGCTGCAACTTTAGCTATTGACATCTTCTTTTCGATCACTCCGCATTAAACAATCGCCAGTCAAAGCCAACCGTTGAGATTGGTAAAACATGGTAAAACCCTACATTAGCTACATACTTTGATATCATAAAGTCTTTCTTTTGATGGAATCAAAAGTAATATAAAGTTTAATGTTAGGCATGACACGACATTTACGTATATAAAAATCAAAACGTCTGTACGTATGTAATATGTATGTATGTATGTAACGCGTCAGTCACGCTTGGCGGGCTATTGCTCCGGAACGGTGCGGGCTACGGGGGTGAAATTTTGGGCGCAAGTCGGACGCGTGCATCTGTTTGTCGTATTAAATTTTGGTGGGGGTGCGCTCGGCGGTCTGCACGTGGCGGGCGCATCTTTGCGGGATTTTGGGCCGCGGCCGGCACCGAGCGGAGAGCACGCGCCTTAGGCTCAGTTTCTTCGCTTGCAAAACTGGGTGAAATCAGAGCCGGAAGGTCACTGACCTTTGGCAATGAATACCGGAACAGGGCACCGCCGGCCAAGAGGAGACGCCAAATTTATTCTGGCAATAACTCGGCCGCTACTGGGTCGATTTTAATGAAAATTTATTTATTACGCTGCGCGTAATGCTGTCCCTCTTTACGCTGCGCGTAATGCTGTCCCTCTAGTTCATGTATTAAATTCAGACCGGTTTCGAATCACAAGATTCATCTTCAGTGACAAAACTCTTTTCAAATTGATACAGGACACATATTCAAACACACTGTGTGTTTGAATATGTGTCCTGTATCAATTTGAAAAGAGTTTTGTCACTGAAGATGAATCTTGTGATTCGAAACCGGTCTGAATTTAATACATGAATGTCGTGTCATGCCTAACATTAACCCGCGCCCTGCTGGGGGGTGTTTGAACACCCCCCCTTGTGGTTTTTCGCGAATATCTCAAAAACGGCGGCGCGGAGCGCCGCCGTTTTTGGTACACCTTATCATACATCAATTCTACACATGTTGTGAAAATTTCAGACCAAGGTCATTCAAGGTCAGGTCACCAGGTCACTTGAAGTGACCTCACCTCATAAAAAGTTTCAATGTCTGTCATAGCTACACCGAGTGACTGATCGCTTTGAAACTTTCAGCGATTGCTAAGAGCAGTAGCATGTACAAAATGTATATCTCAGAATTTTGATATCGATGACCTAAGGTCAGGTCAATTTTGCGACCTCCCCATTATAAGTCAATGAGAGAAAATTGAAATGCGCCTCTTTTGGACGAAAGACATTATGAATACTCCCAAACACTGAATTACAAGTGGTTTAGACACACTGAACATGAAAATTGTGTCCGTGACCCCTGTTTATGCCCTGAGGTCATCTTAGGTCACGAATGGTATCTAACAGTTTTTCGCAAATAACTTTTGATAGAGGCATGCTAGAGCGATGAAAACGCCTTAGATGTGTTCAGCTCGACGATACGGATCGACTGATATGCAACATGACCCTTTCCGGTCAGGTCATGACCTTGACCTGAGGTCAAATTTTCAAGTTGACCTTTCAAGGTCAAGTTATAGTTCATTCGATGCGTCTTGACGAGAGGAACACGATGCCGGTAAAAGTAAGCTCGTACAAGGCTTGGGTCAAAAGTTATTGCAGAAAAACTGTTTCCGAAAAAATCTGCTATTTTTGCAGTTTTTGCCCCCTGCAGGCAAAACCGTTGAAGTTAGGTCAAATCTGAGAACATTACTCAGAAAGGGCGTTAATAGGGCTATCGAATGCGCTTTTCTGCGGCGCTGTAGCTCTATTGGTTCCCTAGTTATGCGTTGGCTTCTTGGAAATTGTCGACATTCGACCTGGAAATCGGCGAAATTTTGCCTTCAATGACCTCTGGTGACCTGACCTTTGACCTGACCAAAAAATTGACCGAAGTGATTTCCTCATTATTTTTGACGCTCTTTCGAACGCCGCCTTCCGCGTATCGCTACGTGGCCCAGGAGCCGAGTTAGAAGGGGGGGTGTTCAAACACCCCCCCCCCCCCCAGCAGGGCGTGGAAATCCAGGACCCCCAGCAGGGCGCGGGTTAAACTTTATAGCTACATACTTTAGCGGTGGGCTGTACCTATAATGAAGGTACGTACCAAACTGTAACTTTTCAAACAATTGTGCTGCAGTAGCGGCGGAACACCTTCAATTAAAGGGGGGGCTGCCGACTTTTGGTCCCGTTCTTTCCATGCAACGCCCATAGGGCTAATGTTAAAATGCCTAAATCATAGGGGGGGCACGGTGCCCCGGTGCCCTCCCCGTTCCGCCGCCTATGTTGTGCTGCATAGGTACCGTTTACCTTTCGACTACATATTTGCCAATCCTTGAGCACAAAAATATTCCACCTCAGTTATTATCGATTTTCCAGCGATTAGCCATTGAACTCTGGCATATTTCACTTAAAGTCGTAAATTATTCCTTTAATGAAAGGAAAGGAGTCCCTATCGATTCGATCGACACGGTCTATCGATTCATTAATGCATCGTAATTTCTTGATTTCAACCGTGGCGTTGCGTTTTGTAAAGGAACTTCTTTTACTGGCCCGGAGCTAGCTGTAAGCTGATTTCGACTTTTCTGCGTCTCCTGTCACACCACACCCGGCTGATGTGTGACTGTGTGTGATGTGACCGACAGGTGGCTTCCTGTGTCACCTGTGCCAGCGTCACTTCACGTCGTACTCGTCCTACTACCACCACCAGCAGGTTCACATGGGCAACACCACGTGCCCCATCTGCGGCAAGGTATTCTCCCAGAAGGGACACCTGCGCGTCCACCTCCGCACCGTCCATCGGTGCCTCGTCTGATTCCGGGACTCCGGCGCTGCCTGCCAGAAACGTGCGATCGGGACGATCTGACCGTGTTGTTTGGAAACTGTTCAGTGTTTGCTGTTTATTGTCTGTTTTGATAATGTTTCTTAGTGTGGCCGAGTATTCGCATCGAAACGACGGACCTCACCATGTCAAACGTAACGGATTTTTGTCTTTTTAGTAGGCTGCGCCTCCACCGCGAGGGGGATCGCTTTGTCTGGCAAATTTGATAGCCGGCTCAGTAGCGGCGGAACACCTTCATGGGGGGGGGGGGGGGGGCACTGCCGACTTTTGGTCCCATTCTTTCCATGCAACGCCCATAGGGCTAATGTTAAAATGCCAAAATCAAAGAGGGCACGGTGCCCTCCCCGTTCCGCCGCCTATGAGCCGGCTGTCTCCCTCCTTGTCGCAGTCGTGAATCGCGCCAAAAATCGGCTCATTAGGCTGAGGCAGACTTGTCCCAAAGACCCTCTCAGCGGCCGCCACCCGGCCCGTCAGTGTATCTGGGGACTTGGAGGTTGAAACCGGTGAATATGTGCCGCTTTACGTGCAGTGAAGCCGCTCGCACCACTCCAATACGGTGGGACGGATATCGGACCTGTTTTTAATTCCATTGAGTCTGAGTCAGTGAGAAAATGAGCATTGAGCATACTTCACGTCCACCCAACTCCCAAGGCCCTATATATTGCGTCCACCCGCAACCCCCCAGCCCCCAACGAAGCGTTTTGCTTCCATAAAGCGCGATCCAAAGTAGATAAGGCTGTCAAAATAATGCACAGCGTTTACCGGATATTTGCAAGTGATTCTGGCGCATCACATACAATAATATCGGTTATATTCCTGTTCATTTGCAGTACTCGCAGTTTCAAACGTGTTTCAATATCTGACGTCATGCATAATTTTTGTGGCGTTATGCTAATGTTTTCCTCACTTGAGCGTTAAAGACTAGTAATTTTTGCCTTTTTTACTATAGCTTCACAGAGTTCAGTGCGATTCACGATCAAATTTGAACTGACTAGCTTTGCGTGACGTCAAATAAAATATTTTCCATTGAGAGGTTTCCATGGACACCGAAAATCCCGTTAGCGTATGCAAGTTTCAGAACAAATTAGTAGTAAACATGCGACCCCGCTGGGTGTGTTTTATGATAAGTGTATAATTTTGGGGCGACTTTTTGTTTTTTCACTTCAATTTCGGAGGTGGGTCGACTGTGCTATTTTATGTAAATTTCATGTCATGTTCATCATCACATTTGAGTTAAAATGCACTGAATATATCACTATGAGTTTGGCAGTGTGATGGAATAGGCGGCTAAGGTGCAATGCTTTTTGTGCACCTTTTTTGTTCCTGGCCAAAGTACTGTCGAGTGGCTGCTTTTTATCAGCATGTTGCCATTTCTGCAGATAACAAATTTACTGTCTTGTGCCTCTTGGCATCAGCATTACTAAATGTCCTAACTCTCTGCTTGGTACATGTTTTGTCTTAATCCGTATCAGTATAGGTGTGGCAAGTTATTGTTATACCAGCTGGTTTGCCATTAAAGTGTCTATAAGGTGAATTGTAGGTGACATCCCCTATACTTTAATGCCTAATTATAACCATGAAATATTACACAGCCAGTTTTGTTTCCCAAAGCTTTTTTTGTCCCAATAGGATGAAGAATCAACTACTTCTAACCATATTGGGCATTTATCCATCTTAAGTCAAAGAACATTGAAGCTTAGATGCTCCAGTATGCTCAGTGGAGCTGGAAATTTTGGCTCTCAGCCTACTGAACTTTTCTGATAGATTGTTTCTTTCCTTATTTTCCAGGCCTTTCAACCCGAGCCATGTTTGCAGTGGACCACATTTTCAAGCAGGCTGTGGTCTGCTTGAGGAGATGTCAATGTTCTCCATTTCAAATTGGATGTCAACAGATCAAACATCATGTAAGTTGATTATCTTGTATTGCTCTCTCTCTCTCTCTCCCTCTCCCTCGCCCTCGCCCTCGCCCTCGCCCTCGCCCTCGCCCTCGCCCTCGCCCTCGCCCTCGCCCTCGCCCTCGCCCTCGCCCTCGCCCTAGCTCGCCCTCGCCCTCGCCCTCGCCCTCGCCCTCGCCCTCGCCCTCGCCCTCGCCCTCGCCCTCGCCCTCGCCCTCGCCCTCGCCCTCGCCCTCGCCCTCGCCCTCGCCCTCGCCCTCGCCCTCGCCCTCGCCCTCGCCCTCGCCCTCTCTCTCTCTCTCTCTCTCTCTCTCTCTCTCTCTCTCTCTCTCTCTCTCTCTCTCTCTCTCTCTCTCTCCTGTAATGCCTCTCATTCCTCTTCATTCCTACTCTCCCAGCCCAGCCTGCCCCCTGTATCTCCTCATTTTCCCAACCTCTTCAGTCTCCTCTCCTATTTATTAGGACCAGGGCTGCGGAGTCGATGGATTTTCGGCGACTCCGACTCCGACTCCGACTCCGGCTTTCAAAAACCAGCTCCGACTCCGACTCCGACTCCGGGCAGAATTGTCGACTCCGACCGACTCAAACTCCCGACTCCGACTCCGCAGACCTAGGAGGGCTGCGGAGTCGACAGATTTTCGGTGACTCCGACTCCGACTCCGGCTCGGGTTTCTAAAATCGACTCCGACTACGACACCAACTCCGGTCACAACTGTCGACTCCGACCGACTCCGACTCCGACTCCGACTCCGCAGCCCTGATTAGGACTTTGTTCTATCCTGCATGCAGTGTTGCACATCTGCTATGTAGGCAACATTTACTACAATTCTATTAATATTTATCAGCTATAATGAACATATGCCATCACTCTCAATCATTTTGTATACTTGGCATGCAAATAGCTTATTCACTTCAGTTTTCATGTTTGAATAGAATGATGTTCATCTGGGCAAGTTTTTTTTCAAATGCTCATATTTTTCATCATTCTTAACCTGAAATTCTGGGATTGAAAGTCTGAATGTCAAGCATATAAAAATTATTTAGAATATGTTGATTCTCAAGTTTTCTTTCTTTTCAGGTGATACCAGTAAGATTTCAGAGTGACTTCCCAGTCATCACAGTTCCTAAGTTTATGCAGCAAAATTTGGAGAAAAGGAAGAGAAAGGAAGAGAAAAGGCATGCAATAAAACGTCTCGAAGCAATCCGTACTGAATCACGGAAGGGCAATAAAGAGGTAGGTAATGGAAATTGGAAATCAACCATTGCTGTCTGTTGTACCGATTTTCAAATGTCATTTATTTCAGCGACATTGCAATGCACTGTGAAGTAAGTCTGCGCCATTAGAGAATAAAGAGATGCCAGTTGAAGCAGTCAAGTGTCACTTCACACACACACACTGCCGTCATATTTTCTCAGTATTTTCGTTCATACGATCTCCCTCCCGTATCCAGGTATGCGTCGTCCGCTGCAAGGACCCCCATCTGAACCACTACCTGGGCCAGAGTTACCCTCGTGCCACGGGCGTGCAGCTGGCCTCGAGAGGGTGGCACCACACCCGGTCCCGGGGTGATCACTTCACCGTCTGTGCACGGACTGATCTGGTGAGCGGGGAGGGGGAGGGGTGAGGTGGGGAGGGGTAGTGGGTGACGGGGAGGATGCCTGGTGGGTTAGGGAATAGCTCAGGAGATCTGTTTTTTGGTCTGTTATTCCTTTCTGGAGCTGTGTATTATTTGAGATGCTGATGCAAAATATGGGCTGGTCTGTCTCACTGACGAAAAATTATGTGCACATAATTCCGCGATTCATTTTCATCACAGGCGCCAGTACGAAACACTACCACTGGCACTGTGTTGGTTCGAGCTTACTGCTTGCACCTCACGTGCCCGTTTTAATGACGTTATGATGCTGTTTCAGGATCCCGATTCTGCACTGGACAGCAGTGATCAGGGCCACACTACGGTGTCGTCTTTTGCTGAGCTAGGTCTGAATGCGGATATTGTGGCCAACCTGCGAAAGATGGACATCGTAACACCCACTGAAATTCAGGTACGCTTCTGGGACACAATATGATGGTCTTAGCGTCATTTTTCCACATAAGTGATCATTTTTCCGTGCGAAAAAAAGAAAGCAGATACTCTGACTGTACTTCAATGGAACTTTGACATTACTTTGGCGTATTATGACCGTATTAGCGTGTTTTATCGTATGTCGCAACTCTGTCGCTTTTCGAATCGTACGCTGAGTCGCTGACCACTCACCAATAACCACTGACCATATTGTACGTTGTAACCGTCCCACTCCCTCGCCTGACCGTCGTTCTCTCTCCCTGCAGCGCCGCGCCATCCCCCGCCTGCTGTCCGGCTCCGACACCCTGGTGGCCGCAGAGACGGGCTGCGGTAAGACGGTGGCAGCCGCGGCGCCGATGCTGCACAGACTGCTGGCTGAGACGGTTCCCTCCGCGGACCGACCGCGCGCGGACACCAACCGACCGCGGGCGCTGATCGTGACCCCCGGTAGAGAACTGGCAGTGCAGATCAGGGTAGGTGGGGATTGAGAATATGGTGTAATTACAGAGAGACTACAGAGTGTGAATATCTATTTGAATAAATTTATTCTGTAAATATAGCTAGTATCACTATTCTATTTTTACGTCCTATCTGCTTTGTCCGAATACACACATTACAGTACATAATTATCGTTATATGTGCCGAGTATTATGATTATATTGTCAATTAAGCTAGCCTCACTGGCCTCGCCCAGTAGCACTCAGTTTCTACCGATGTATTACTTCTTAAACAGTTGCCTTCTGCAGCTGCCATCCTGTGTCGAATGTTACTGTTACGTTTTCTGCTGACTGTTTGGCGCGGATGTCCCTCACTGACTGTCCACACGTATTCCCGTCTCCCAGGACGTGCTGTTGGCCATGACGGCCGACCTGCCGCTCCACGTCAGGATGCTGCTCGGCGGCCGGACCAAGCGGAAGATGGAGCGTCCCACCGTGCTGCCCATGGATGTGCTGGTCGCCTCGTTCGGGGCGCTCAGCAAACTGCACAGCGTCGGTACGTTGGGCGTGCGCGCGTGGCAACGCCGCGGCCGCTGTGACACGTCGTCCACAACTGAAGTATCCTAATTGTACTCAGTTCAATGCAGTTTTCCTCGGGTGGTTACTTGGCCACTCCAGTTTAAATATTACGTGACGGAAATTGTCTCGATTTCGGCAGCTCTTGTCATTGATATTGTGATATTGGGCTCACTGATCCGTGCCTATCTTATATCGTGAACCTGCCTCAGTTATCGTTTCCTGGCTGTTCTGAATCACTTGTCTGTCCCATTGTTGTAGTGCATTATCCCCTGCCATCGTCCCGGCCCGGCTGTACCGGTTAATGGTCCGTTCGATCCGTCTCTGGCAGGTATCCTGGACCTCTCCCGGGTCTCTCAGGTCATCCTGGACGAGGCTGACACCCTCCTGGACGACTCGTTCCGGGAGGACGTGCGTCGCCTGCTCTCCCGTCTGCCGCTGTCTGCTCTGTCTGGGGACCTGCAGAGGCCGGGGGATGGCGGCGGACCGGCCACGGCGCTCACACTACTGGCGGCCACCCTGCCCCGTAACCTGGACTCGCTGCTGGAGGGACTGGTGACGGTGGGTGGACGATGGATGTGTCCGGTGAAGGGAAGCGCTTGGGAATGGTGGAGTGGTAATTATTATTAGTAAAGTAATATATTAGTAGTATAATTATTAATTAGTAAAGTAATATTGGGGTAGGTTTGACTGTGTTCGGTTATGAACGGCCGGCTATGGTTAGATCGATTGCTATTGTTTTGCTTAGATTATTACGGAGCGAGCGAAGCGAGCGGAGTCTCATACTGAATTAAGGGAAAATCCTGAGTATGAGCGGCCGGCCGGCCGGCCGTGGGGACGCTCTTCAAAAGCTAATATCTTAGGAACGGGGCATCCGATTAACAAGCGGTCTTCTTTACTGAATGTCACTTGGACGTAAGAGTTCTGTGGTGTGATGGCCACCATGCGTTCTTGCCAACCACCGCACGTGGCGCGTGGTAAAGTTGGACATTTTTTAAGAACCCTCAAAATTGCAACCTCAATAACGGCACAACGGTTGGGCCGATTGAATTGAAACTCGGTACACAGTTAGGTCTCCATCAGATAATTCATCTGCATGTGTTAAGGTTGGGGTGCTACAGCACGTGCGCACGTGCAGGGGGCGCTCCCAGATCTCGAGAACGGCTGGGCCGATTGCGCTCAAATTTGGTACACGGTTGGGGACCAGTTAGTAGGGTGCCGTGCAAAAGTCAGTTTGGACCCCGCTTGCACGTGCGCACGTGCAGTGTGCCGCTTCCAGATCTCGAGAACGGCTAGGCCGATTGCGTTGAAATTTGGCACATCGCTAAAGACCGGTTAGTAGGGTGCAGTGCACAAGTTAGTTGGAGGTACCCTCTCGCAATTTCGCACGTGCAAGGCCCATCCTCTCGCTCGCTCCGTTGGTCGCCCAAAAGGCGTTTTACTGGTTTTGTAATCAGCTAGGATGACGAGTGACGACGTAGGTAGCTCAGTTTTCTTTTGTGTTTAATTTTTGTTATCAATATCGGCTTTTCCCTAAATATTGATACCACAACTGAGGTATTTCCACTACAGTTGACTACCGCGTCGTCAAAAAACAACAACCAATTGCCTGACTCCCCCGCCCCGGCCCCCGCAGGGTCAGGTGAGCCGTGTGACGTCTGCGCGGCTCCACCACCTCCTGCCGCACGTGCAGCAGAGCTTCCTGCGGCTGGGTTCGGCGCAGCGGGCTGAAGCGCTGGTGCGACTCTGTCGAGAGGCCACGGAGAGACGCGAGCCCGTCATCGTGTTCAGGTGAGCAGGTGCGCTCGTGGTGGCGCGCTGAGGCTTATGAAGGAGTCAAGTGTTTCTGGTTTGGTTCTGGGGACGTAACGTGTGGTTGAGATGAGAATGGTAGGTCTATAATGCCAAGATGGCTTGTGTTTTACATATATGAGAAACCTACAGTAATTACGGCGATCCGATTGCTATGATCAACCGAGCTCTTTGAGAACGACTGTCGTCTAGCAAGGCCTCTGGGTGTGCTCTTGAGTCCAAAAACGTTAATTATCTGTACCTTGAACCTCGAATGTTACCCGTAGCTGGCTTATACGCATTGTGGCGCTTTCTGACGCCTACCCCTCCCCACTCCCTCAGCAACAACGCCCCGACGTGCGACTGGGTGAGTCTGCACCTGAACGAGAGTGGCGTGGACTGTCTGAACGTCAGCGGCCGGCTGCACTACAAGCTGCGCCAGGGCCGGTGGGCGGCGTTTCTGGCCGGGGAGCCGGCCGTGCTGTCCTGTACGGACCTGGTCAGTCGCGGACTCGACAGCTGCCGGGTGAGTAAGCGGGCGGGGAGAGTGGTGAATTATGAGTGCTTGATGCGAGAGATGCCGCATGGCTATTGGATAGGGTCGGTAGCTCACTTCCCGAGTAGGATACACGAGACAGCTCCCATGTGGTGTCGTCAGATGACGTATCAGTACGAAATTACACAGAAAAAAATGTCGGGAGTTTCGAACGTCGCCGTAGCGTTATATGAGCTCAAAGCCACCGCACTAGCCATTTCTCAACGTATTGCCCACGCTACACGGGGCTATTTCCTGTTTTGAATTTTTCTTTTATTTTAGCTACTAAATATACTTTATTTGAGCCCAGTAGACCTTGTCGCTGGCGGTGCACCCTGAGTAACCCGCCGTCCGCTATCCCCTTCAGGTGGAGCACGTCATCAACTTTGACTTTCCATGGAATACGTCCGACTACATCCACCGGGTGGGCCGCGTGGGCCGGGCGGGCAGCGAGCGGGCCGGCACCGTCACCAGCTTCGTCAGCCGGCCGCTCGACGTCGCCATCGCGCAGCGGATTGAGGTGCGGGAACACTGTGGTACTTTTAGGAGATTCGCCTTACCAAAATGTTAACTTCCCTCCCACACACTCACACATGCGTCCGTTCAAGCTCCCCGCTCCACTTGCGATATCGGTTTGATACTAATGTTCGTGTCGGGACTAAATATGCGCTCTTTACTCAAGGATGATGCCTTGTTAATGGTCTTAATTGGCTTATTAAGATGCTCATTGCTCAGTGTTGTGTTCAGGAAGCTTTATGTCAGTCACACGTTGATACTTCGCCTTATATTTGGTACACTCTCGAGGCGGTGCTAACTGCTAACTTACCCGCGGCTCGATACTCGCTCCACTCTGACTCTACGTCTCACCAAGCCCCCTCTCCCGACAGAGGGCGGCGCGCACTGGCGAGCCGCTATGGAACGTCGACGCCAACATCAAGGACATCATCGCCAAGCGGATGATGCGGAAGGAGGCGACGACCAGTCAGCAGCAGCGGCGACGGAGGAGCTGACGAGGCCGAGACCGCTGCCCCGGGGGCAGTCGGGGGTGCTCATGTGCCTGAATGGTGCTCATTTTGTACGAATTGTTCATTGTTGATGTACAAAAATATAGAGATCATGCTAGTCAGAATTGGAGTGAGTTGAAAAGTGGAGCTCGGATGTCATATACACGCATCGATGCGCCTGGGAAGGAAGCTAGCCGCCGAAGTTCACGATGAGTTCCGTGCGATCGGGACCGATGAGGTCGATTGGTTCTTGAAGGTTCCACCATCGTTCCGCTTCCGGAAGGTGTATTCATTTTCTAGTGTCATTACCGGTGATAGGCATGGGCGTCGAAACCGGGGGGGACGGGGGGGACGCGTCCCCCCCAGTCGAGGAATCCGGGGGGGACGTCCCCCGCAAAAATATCCTCATGAATGATTAAAAAAGTGATCAACGAAATTGGTGTATTGTCGTTTTGGGATGAAATTGCGGATACCTACTCGTATACAAATTGAATCATGCGAATTGCTGACACTGCACTTGCTTGCAGGGCTGCGGAGTAGATTGATTTTGGTAGCTCTGACTCCGGCTTTTAAAAAATCGCTCGGAGTCCCCACCCCATCTCCGATCACGGCATCCCTCGGCCCGCATCGGAGTGAAAAACATGTGATGTGATGCTTTTGTCTCTTTGAACATTTCTTGGCACGTTAAAAGATAACATTACCTACGAGGTGCAGCTCTGGACTGTCCGTCCCAGGTCCTCGATAGGGAGCCAAAGCTCCAGTTGTAGGGGCGACCATATTCAACAAGGGCTGAAGATCTGTCCCAAAGTCTCAAGCTTGCAAAGACCACACATTTTATGTAGGATATTCGTAATAGTCAAGACCTTCAGCTCACTCTCAAACGGCCCTCTTCCCGTTCAAGGCCATCCGACAGCAGAAGGTCTCACCATGTCCTTTGAACGCTTGATGCTTGAGGGTGAGAGGACCTCGTCCTGGTCTGAGAGAGCCCAGGAGGATGTAATACTCAGTATGGTCCTACATTGGTCTTACCATGACCCGGCCTTCAATCACCACAGCCAACAGAATCTCCAGCTTTTATCCGACCCATCCTCGGGGATGACGTTGACTCTGACTTCAGAGTTGAAGTCTGGTACGACTTTGGTGACTCCAACTCCGTATCCGACCAAAACCGTCGACTACGACCGAAGTCGACTCCGACCCCGCGGTCCTGCAGCTACACTGCACAGAGTTTCAAACTTCTTGGAAATAAGCTGTACCTATGGTTGACAGAGGACCACACGATTTTTTAGAGGCAGGGCTGCTGGACTTGGTGACCAGATCCTAACTGTCCTGGTATCAAACTTATTACTCGGGATGCAAAATTTATGCGTTTTGGGACTGTTTTGCCAAGAGTTTTTGCCAATTTTCGCGGCGCTTCGCGCCGCCAATTCATGCACAGATAGAAAAGAGTGTGACTAATAACGCCTCCACGCGAGAACATGAGAACATGTGTATTGTGTATGCGTTATAAGTAGTGCATAGGCCTGAAATTGTACGGTAACTAGCTTTTGGGTTTTTAGTCAGCCAATCCGTCCCCCCCAGTCAAAAATCCGTGGCGACGCCCCTGGTGATAGGCCTGTAGCGCTGGCGCTGGCAGACTGCGAGCTTCTAGGCAAGATTCTTCTGGCGGCAGTCGGTTTTTCGTCTTGCGGAAGCGAGTTACAAACTAGGGATTTTGAGAAAAGTCGCTAGACTGCCTGCTTCAAGACTGCAAGGGAGACAAGTGACGCCAATGCTCAAGATAGTACAACTAAACATGATTATTATTTTCAAATGTTACTGGTATATAAATTTAAGAAGATATTATGTTTTGTTCATATGATGAAGTCAGATATAAGTGATAGGTGGCAAAATGGTAAATTTTTATTTGACGTCATTTACCAATGAGAGGTGATGCAGTTTTTTTTTTTAGAATTTCATGATCCTTGATTGAGGGATCACTTTCGGCGTCGCGGCAGTGCTGCCAGATTTGGAGGATTTCCGCAAATCTGGAGGATTTTGAACTCTATTTGCGGACAAATTTCGCGTTTGGAGGATTTTTGATTCTGGAGGAAAATCTGGAGGATTTGTCACCCGATTAATATATTCAATTTCATGGAAAAATACAACGCGTTCAAGACTCAAAAGACATTTTCCTGCCCAGCTTCACCCTACCCGTTAGGATATATCACTGCCCTTTATCACCGTGAGACTGGAATGTCTCAGTCTGTAGCTATATCCACGAATATCATGGTGACTATTTGTTCCTATTTCGTGTACGATTGTACCATATGTTTTTGAAGGTACCGAACTACTGGCGGATCAAAGGGGGATATTTGGCGCAAATTCCCCCCCCCCCCTCCTGCAGCGTCCAAAATCGAAGAAAATTTTCGTTTTTTTCAAGGATAAAACGAAAACTAAACAACTTTTATTATAAAAAAGCATCTTTTAAACTACACAGCAGTGCGAAAGGAATCGAAATCCGATGAGTTTTTAGAATTTGGAGAAACCTTTTCGGAGATATGCCCTCCCGCAGCGTCCAAGACCGCCTATCTGGATCCGCCAATGGGATTTGGAGGAATCTGGAGGATTTTTGTAACTGATCTGGAGGATTACAGCCTTCTCCATCTGGCAGCACTGCGTCGCGGAGGCGTGGATAGACTTGCGTGGATAGGTTAATAGGTAAATTATTGTACTATTTATTCACTTTTTTCTGGTTTGTTGGATACATAAAACATGGGTATCAAAGTAAACACTACCTCATTTTCTCTGTGAATGTGACATTGCCATGGCTTTAGTTTGACTGATTGATTCAGATTGTCGCTTTGATCGATCTGACTTTGATTTTAATTTCAATTTAACTCATTTGGTATATCAAATAACTATAAGTTAAATGAATTTAAGTCACGAATGTGACATAAAACGTGTCATTCACCTGATCGTGTTGTAATACATCGTCATCTTGCTAGTTGCTACCCGATACTCCCAGCTTTTGGTTGTCAGTTTCCATGGTAATGAATCAGAATGAGAAACAATTCTGCTTACATTTCTTTGAAACTGAGCATGAATGCCTTCTGCTGCTCAAGTTTTTTCTACAGTCAGTGTGCTTGCTATCACTAAGCAGTGGGTTGGGTTAATTTCTTAAACAGTCGGGGTGGCAGGAATTGCAGGCACATTATTGGTGCAAGGTGCGTTTGCTGTCTGCAGGCGAAGAGTATTGCGTGAATTTTGTTTTGTGCTGCCAATCGAGAGTATCATTAAAGTTTTGATTTTATTGACCTGTTTCTTTGAAGCATCACAGACCGGTTACATGGTACTGATAACTGATAAGTATTTCAATTTCAAGCTATTGGTATTGGCACTGGTTTGGGTATTTATTGCTATTTTGACGTTCCAGACGGGTAAAGAACTCACTCTTGTCATCTGATGTTCAAGTGGGCAGGACTCACATCTTATCTGCTGTCCAATGCAGGTAAGATTATATGACATTGTGGTAAGCTAACTAGCATTTCTTAACTTTCACCAAAAATACCAGTAAGTTTGTCTTATCATGTACTTTTTTAGATATTTACACACCAATGTTTATTTGGGTGTTGGCAATTGTACAAAGCTTCTTCAGGACCTCAAAGAAAATCCCTGGTAACATGTAATTTCCTTGCCTTTTTTTGCATCAATCTGCCAGTACCTATTTAACTGGTTTGTTTGAGTTTGCTTCTGAAGTTAAATGAGCTGTGGCCTGTGAATATGGCAGATGAGTTTCTGTTGTAATATCCTCTGGATTGAACCCCATCTTAGTACTTCATGGAAATTGGAACTAGGTTGTGGCTGTAATAGCTAGACAATGGGCATTCTATTTAGTTTGAATTCCAATATTATAGGTTTGTAGGCCAGACATATCAGTCACTAGGCCAATAAGAGGAAACAAAATGATTAACCTGATGATTAAGTGGTGTAAGATGTGCAATTGAAGTGGTCACAGAATCACTTGTTTAATTGAGTCTGAGTCTTTCTACTTTTCACTGTTGGTGTCAGCTGTTGTCTGGGAGAAAAAAGTTCCAGATTATTTAACAACATGTTTTCATCAGATGTTCCAACAGTGAATGTTCCCATATGACTCCCTCCCTCCTCTCTGCCACCGCCAGGGCGCCCAGGCTGGTCACGACAAGACGCTGAGTAAGCGGCTGTCGTGGCTGCTGCGGCACGGCGCTGAGCGCGAGGGGCTCCGTCTGCTGCCAGGAGGGTTCCTGCCAGTGCGCGCTGTGCTCGCGCGACCCGCGCTGCGCCAGTACACCGAGTCGGACATCCGTCGGGTGGTGGAGCGGAACGACAAGCAACGGTTCACACTGCGAGAGGACGCCGCCGAGGGTCTGCTGATCCGCGCCAACCAGGGCCACTCTCTGCCGGTGAGAGCCGGCCCGACGGCCCCGGGGAGCCCGCCCTCACTGCCGCAGTCCGCCCCCCGCTGCAGGAGCCCGCACTCCCATACCGCTGAGACTGAGCCGCAGTCCGTCCCCCGCTGCTATCGGACCCGCGCCTAGGCTGTGCCAGGGGAGGGGCTTTCCTCGCTGCTCTGGTGTAAACTAGGGAGTGTTTAGAGTGTTAAACCTCTTTTGTGCACCCTCTGTTATTTACACAACGTACTCAGACGCAAAGCCAAAATGCTGGACTTGACGTCACTGTCCATGGCGTTGATCGCCCTCGGTTTCACCGTGTACCTGTTATCGGCCGAGTGGTGCCGCCGCCGGCGACATTGGGGGCCCCTGGGGGCCGCCCGGCGCGCGCTAATCGTCACTGCCCACCCGGACGACGAGTGTATGTTCTTCGGGCCGACGGTGGTCGGTCTGTTGCGACAGCCGGGCTGTCTGGTGTACCTGCTCTGCCTGAGCACGGGGGATTACGACGGAAGGGGTAAGGTGCGGAAGGAGGAGCTCTACCGGAGCTGTCAGGTGCTGGGCATTAAACGGGAGAACGTCATCCTCCTGAGGCACTCCCGGCTGCCGGACCACCCGGGCCGCTCGTGGAACGACGCGCTCGTCTCGGAGCTGGTTCTTCAGCACGTGATGAGCCTGGACATCGACACTGTGGTGTCTTTCGACCCCCACGGCGT